AACATCGCCAACAGCATCGCCACTATCATCATCGCGTCTACCGTGATCGACGCTGCCATGATCCCGCGCTCGCCCAAGTCGCCGACACGCACTGATGTGCCCGCTGGGGCGCGCCCAGCGGCCAGCGCCACCGCGGCCGCGTCGGCCGAGCCAAACTAACCCGCCGCTGCGCGCGTTTGGGCCGGCGCGGAGGCAGAGATTGACCGGCCAACGCCAGGCGCCCATCGCTATCGCCACCGCGTAGGTCCTGCAAACCAAGTTGCGGGTGGGTGGGCGGGATGTTTGCAAAAGCATGGGATGCGTCAAATCGTCTGTTGAAATCAATTGAACCAAGCAGATAGCGCTGAATATACTGCCCGACGTAGACAGTGTAACCGATATTCCTCCGTCAGAAACAGTAATCGATGATCGCCACCGCGCCCCCCCATGCCCCGCCCCGCCCAGCCGGACATATCTCCGCGCCCTGGAGACAATGAAATTTACGCACCCGTTCTGCCCCATCGCTCATGTTAACGGAATGGATCCACGCCACCCCACTGGGACCCGCCTCGCCCCCGCCCCCCCCCCCCCGCGCGCGCGCAACACGGCTTGGATATCCCTAGGAAGGCGGGGGGGGGGAAATGCCACGCGGGCCGCTCGCGCGCGCCCGCCGCGCGCGCGCGTCGAAATCCATCAAAACCTTCGTCGCCGCCCTATGGGCGCCATCGTCGTCGATGGCGCGACCGGCGTCGGCGCCGCCATGCGCCGCGCCGTCGCCATCGCCGCCTCCGCCACCGCCATCGCTGCAACCATCGTCGTTTCCACCGTCGACGTCGTCGCGACGCCCCGCCCGCGCGGATCGCCGACGCGCGTTGACGCGATAGCGCGCCAACGCCGCCCGCGAAACGCGCCGGGCATCCCTCGTCGGCCAGCGCCGCCGCGGCCGCGTCGGTCGCGCCAAACTAGCTGGCCGCTCTGCGCGCGAGCTTTCGCGCGCCAGCGCGGCCGCAGATGCGCTCGCCAGCGCCGAACAGCCATCGCAATCGCCATCGCATGGGTTCTGCAAACCAGCTTGCGCGCGGGGGGGCGGGGCGATCGCGAGAACAGAGGCGGCGACACAAGTTCAAATGCGGCACATTGAACTGCACCGCGAAAGTCCTGCCACATGCACTGCGCAACAAGGACTACCCTTTCTCAAAGCAATGGGACCAACCGCGCACGCGCGCCGCCGCCCCCCACCGGCCCCCCCTGGGAAATCGCGATTTGCACCCAAATTCGCACCAGCCCAGCCCAGCCGGCATCGTCCACCACTTCAAATAAAACGATGCTCGCACACCCTATATATATATATATATATATATATATATATATATATATATATATATATTACAAATCAACACTTTTCAAAACCCCCTGCAACAATCAAATTGCACAAAGACCACGCGCGCGCGGTCGCGCGTGCACGCCGGAAAACAGCAAACACTTGTTGGGTTCGCGCGGATGTCAAGATCGGGATTCCCGAGATAGCACAACAATAGCTCTGCGCCGTAATCTCTCCGATCACGAACAACTATTGCGTGCTCTCACGCGAAAAACTGCAGCAAGAAGCCGTAGTTCCTTCGCAATTCTGATCAAAAAAAACCGGGCCTTTCGCGGCGAATGTCAAAATCATGCGAGTGCCATCGCGCGCTCGCTGGGGGGCGCGACCCCTGTCACATAATACCACGCCGGCAACTCGCGCCTGACGGCCGCGCGCGCACGCCGAGACACAGCGCCTTCATCGCCGACGCATGTACACCATCATCGTCATCGGCTCGGCCAGCATCGGCGCCGGCAGCGGCCCTGCCGTCGCCATCGTCATCACCTCCACCATCATCGCTACGGTCGCCACCATACCTGCCACTGTCGACGTCGTCGCCGCGATGCCGCGATCGCCCAAGTCACCAACTCGAGCCGAATTCCTGCGCGCCCCTGCCGGGCGCGCGAGACGCGACGGAAGCCCCCGTCGGTCGGCGCCGCCGAGGCCGCGTCGGTCGCGCCAGACTAGCTGGCCGATCTCCGCGCGAGCTCGAGCGCGCCGTCGCGGCCGCAGACGCGCGCCAGTGCCGAGCAGTCATCGCCATCGCCACCGCGCGGGCTCAGCGCGCTAAATTGCGGGCGAGAGGGCGCTTGCGAGAGCAGCGGAGTTGGCAACTCATTGCGAACACCCTCAAGGAAACAATCCCCTGGGGCGCGAGTGGCTCAGTGTCTACTCGCTCGCGAGCGGCGAATGGTCTACGGCGTAAGCTGTGAATGGCTTGATTCTGTCTCGAAGGCCGTCTTCGGCGGCGCACCCCCTTGGGGCCTCGAACCGCGCGAAGAGCGGGCGCGCTGGGGCGGGGCGAGAGGGGGCGCGCGCGGAAGGGCGCAGGTGGACCCCGCAGTAGGTGGAGTTCCTTGAGGGGCCGCGAAGCGCGAGAGGGGCGCGCCAGAATGGCGCAGGGGGGCGCGCGTGGACCCCACCATTGGGGCCCCCTGTCTCGCCTCGATTTCTGCGGGCGATGGTCGCGTGCAGTCGCGCACGTAAATGATTGACTCCAAATGGTAGCTATGCTTCCCAGTCGCATCCGACGGGCGCCCCTTTGACCTGAATGTCCGATATGGCCTCATTATGTTGGCCAACATTCATCGCAATACATCGTCCAATGAGGTTCTAGTCAGGCACCCTCGGAACAGTTCCCACGGGCCTGACGAAGCGCATGGCGTGGGGGCCCAGCCACTCGCAGAGGCCGAGGCAGATGCAAATGTCGGTGGCGCATGTCATCAAAGATCTGGCAAGGGCGGCCGTGAGCTCACATTGGACGTCGCGTCTCCACATACTGCGGCAATCGGTTTCCCCGGACCAATTGAACAGATGTTCCGCGATGCCAGTCGGGAATCGGCATGCCCGCGCGCGCGTGGGGATGAGTCGCGAGGAAGCGACATCCGCGCATGCGCCACTTGGGGCCTTGCTGCCGTTGTCGGACCCCCACCCGCAATGGCAAAACCGGACGCGTAATATCGCGAAGTGGCAATCACTGGGGAACGCGCGCACCGGCGGCATATGCCAGAAACAGACGGGTGACCAACATCGGGGGGTACCCATTTTCGAATATCTTTAGTTTTAGCTTCTGCCAGCGCGGCCCACATCGTCCGTTAGGTACACGCGCGCACAAAACACGCGGCGCGGTGACCCACCATAATGCGCACTCCCCTTCATACAAGTTTACCTAGATAGCGCATGCCATCCGATGTGGTTTGCCCGTCGCGACGTATCCGATCGCAGATAACGCAGTCCTGGCAGGCGTGCGGCGCAAGCCATGCGGACGCCTTCTGCGCGGCCCTCTGCGGAAAAAAATGCAAACGGGCCTGGGCAACCTGTCCCCCCTCACGATGGGGAAGATGACGCTGCCTGACGTTGGGTCGTGCGTCCTCGAAAGACACTGCCCGCCTCCGTCTGCATCGCAGCACGTCGGTTGTCCAGCAGGGAGGTAGCGCGATCCGCGTGGCCCTCGTTCAGGTCCAGGTTGGAGTCGACATGGTCACCCAGGATCACGAGGTGACAACTTTAAGACTCCAGCATCGGCAATATCTTTGCTGCACTTTGGTGGAATAGCCCTCGCCGCCCGGAAATAGAATCACTGGCTTCGCCCCAGCGTGGTATAACACTTGCAATCGTGTTCCTGCGTAGACGCTTTGCCCTGAATGGCAAGAAGCTTGGAGTCCATGGCGACGTCGGCCATGAAAGTCCCCCCTGGCTGCGGACTCGACATTTGACTTCTATAGGGGTATTGGCGATGTCGTCGGAATGTATCGATCCACCTCCAACTCCGTGAACATGGAAAAGGTTTACCCGCCTTCAAAGGCCAGTAGCCAAACCATCTTTTGCAGTGGCCCCATTGAGCCCATTCTCCAACGTCTTATCTCCAATGAGGCTGACACACGAACCAGGGTCCACAAGCATAGATGGTCGGCCATTCGGCAAACTCGTCCCCGAGGTGGTTTTGATGTGCACAGTTCATGAGGTCGTGTTTCCACGACTCCTTCCAAGGCTCCTCCTGGGTTTTGATGTGCCCAGTGTGTACAGCTCCTGGCGGTCGACGGCCTTCGCGCGCCCGGCGGAGTGCTGATGGAGAGGAAGGCCTTTAGCTCGTCGGTCGGATCTCTTCGCGCGTCGGTGGCCCGGGTAGGTGAGGGAGCAGGCGTCGTGGTAGTGCGGCAGTGTCGGGGCCCGCGTGATGGTCGAACTCGTAACGGACTCTGTTGTTCATGCTGCAATCGTCCCGCGGGCAGTCGCCTTTGTAAACGTTGTGCATAAGGGCGGTGGTGAACAGAGCTGCTGCGGTTGCAGCAGCTCCGCTACTAAGTTTCAACGGGCAGCTTCAAGACGCGGCCGTCAAAAACCCAGTGAATGTCACAGGGATGTCGAATAGCCGGATGGTGATGGAGGAGAAAAGCCCTAGATACCCGCAAGGCGGCCCAAGAGGGCTCCCAAGGCACCCCCGGCAGGGCCCCGAGAGGCCCAAATCAACGATTAACTGTTACTTTGCTGTGTTGTTCGCTTTCTGTTCTACGCTCTTCGGTCGAAAATCGTCCCGAAGTACCCACGGAGACCCAAGAGGACACCGACATTGCCCAGGAGAGCCCCAAGAGAGCCCCAAGCTGGCCCAGGAGGGCCTCTGGAGGGACCCCAAGACTGCCTCCGGGGCCCCCCCGCGGCCGAAGACGGCTCCGAGACGGCCTCACAACGACCCCAAGAGGCACCCGGGACTGCCAGAGACAGACCGAAGACGGCCCCATGGGGCCCCGAGGGACCCGCAAGGATGCCCCACAGGAACCGGGAGGCGGCCCCCGAACGGCCCCGACAAGCCGCACGTGCGCTCGCCCAGGAGTCGGGGCCGAGAGGCACCGCGCCGTGCGAGCGGCCTCCCCGGCGGCGTGCGAGGGGTCGCCACGCGGAGCGCGTCGCTGGCACGGTGGCGGAGTTGCCGCAGGCCGCCGGCTGATCGCCTCGAGCTCGGGTCCTTCGCGCAAGGCCTCTAAGAACTCTCTGGGGCTACGCGTGATGGTCATCAGCAAGATCTTCTCGCCGTGGAAGAGGGGATCGTCGCCTGGATCTGCGTCCTGCTGCGGTCCTTCATCTGCGTCTTGAGGTGACCCGCGTATACTTCGACAGACCCTCGCCGCCGCCTCCTGCGGGTCGATGGTGGCGGGCTTCTGACCCGAGTCGTCCACGACTGTCTGGGTAACCCTTGACGCGCAGGACGGCGCCTGTGAGAAGGCAGCGCCATCGACCACCGAGGCGCTCTCGGCAAGACGCGCATCCATGCCGATGCGGGAGGGCTCCCGTGCAAAGGCGTCGCCGTTGACCGCAGAGACGCTCTCAAGCAAGTCATCATCGTCGACCGCAGAGGCGCTCACCCGCAAATCTGTATCCATGATGACCCTGCCCTGCTGGCCGTCGAGGCTCCCGATGCCTCGGAGTCCAGGCAGCTCCACGCTGCTCCCTGGCGCCAGGCAGGAGCCCTCCGATGGCAGCGCGGCCGCGGCGCCGCCCGCGGCCGCTGCGGCCGCCGCCGGGCCGCCCCTGGCCGCGGCGACGCCGACGGCTGGCACGGCGGCGGCGGCCGACTCACACGGCGCCGTGCGTCCCACCCCAACGGCTGGCACGGCGGCCTCCGCGGGAGGGGCCACGGAGCAGGGTCCTGTGCCGCTCGCAGGGGCCGGGGCCACCGGCAGGGGCGCCCCGAGGCAAGCCGCCTGCGTGGGCGTGGATTCCTCGGAGGGGGACGGATGGAGGGCGGAGAGACGTGCACCCTGCGTGCCCGCTCTGGGCCGCAGGGGGGCCCCTTCTTGAGGGTCCCTTTAGGACACAGTAGGTACACCTTTCTTCACCCCTCTATCTTCTATCTACCCAGGCCCCCGACGTCCTGATTTTTCCACAGCGTCGACCCCCAAAGGTCTCGACACATTCCCCAGGGCCAGCCTTTCATCCCGAGTCGTTGTGTGACGGCCCCGAGGCCCAGTCAGGGCCCCCAGGGGCCAGAAACAATGGAAAACCTCCCGACAGTGATTCTTTCACGACTTGAGGGGGTAGGTATCTATCGCCCCCCCTGACTTGGCGGCGCGCACAGGGGGGTAGGGGGGGGGAATGCTTCTTAGAAGCAGGGCGCTTCTAAGAAGCCTTTCCCCTCCCCCCCATAATGCGGGATGACGATTAATAAAACAATGGGAGAGAACGATTAAAAAAATAGTTTTCTGCGATTTCTGCACAATTTTGATGACTGGAGGAGAACGTGAAAAATATATAGCTGTCCAGCCCGCGGCCGGTTCTTTCTAATCGTCATCCGGGGCGCAGCCGCGTGAACACGACCCCCGGTCATTTACTCCAGATTTCGTAATAAAGGGAGGGGGGTCTCATTTCGGGGGGGGGTCTCTTCCAGGCTATCTTGGAGGGCCTGGGGGGGTCTGGGGACGATGTTTTGGAGGGTTCTCCCACGGGGGGGGTTTGAAATGGCTTGTCTTGGAGGGTTACGACCCCCTCCCTTTTATTACGAAATCTGGAGTACTCGTCATCCTCCATTACCACCCTCTGCGCGTGGCCGCAGATCTCAACGCCCGACGTCCCCAAGGCTCGCAGCAGCCGGCGGGGCCGCCCCCCAGGGTGCCGCGGCTCGCGGCGGCGGCGCGCCACGGGGGCCTGGGAGGCCCTGCGCGCCCATGCGGCCCGCGTCTGGCGGCAGCGCGGCCGCTCCGAGGGGAGCGGCGGCGAGAAGCGTCCGGTGGCAACGCATGGAGTCGGGGCTGATTGCCGACAGGCCGCTCCAACAGGCGTAGGCTCGATCCGCCCGAGTCTCGACTCGCCTGGCTCGATCCGCCCGGGCTTCATCTCCGCCTGGCCCGAGTTGCCCGGCTCGGATCGCCCAGGCTTCATGCGAGCGAGTCTCGAACCGGCCCGGCGAACCAAGACTCCGGCGGATCGAGTCCGTGCCCTCCAGCAAGTCAGCCTTGCACGATCGCGACCTCGACGCGAATAGACGCGGAAGTCCGCCGACCTTGTCGGCGTGTGTGAAGGGGGAGTCTTGGGTCCGTCGTTCCCAGGTGTTCCTGAGAGACGATCTGTCATTCGATGTTCTTCCATTCCTGGAGACTCTCCCGAGACCCTCTTTGACACGCTAAGCTCGTCAACTCGAGGTGAATCGAGCCTTAGCCCCTTCCCTTTGATCCCTTCCCCACCAGGGCGGGGAGGTGCCAGGGGGGGGGGGTCGCGGGGGGGTCGGCCCAGGTCAGAATACGGTCTCCCCTTCGGCAGATCAGGTCCAGGGGCACACGAGGGCCCAGAGTCGCCGCAAGATTGCTCCACGACGCCCAAGATGGCCTCCAGACGGCAAAGGACGCCTCCAAGACGCCCCAAGAGGCCTCCAAGAGCACTCCAAAGATGCATCATGGATTGAATGCCCGTTGGTTTTTGTTCAGATGTTAACGTTTCTGCCTTTTCGGCTTCTCGACACTCCAAGACGGCCTATGATGCATCAACGACAGCCTACGAGGCCGTCAAGGTGGCGCCGAGACGGCCACAAAAAGCCTGCAAGACACCCCAAGAGGCCTCCAAGACGGCCCAAGATGGTCCCAAGAACGACCCAAGAGGAGCCCCAGAGGGCGAACACCGAAACGATCGACATTTCAAGCTCACCGCCCAAAGAGGCTCCCAGGAGGCCTCAAGAGGCTCCCAAGAGGCCCCCAAGAGGCCTCAAGAGGTCAACAAAGAGGCCCCTCGGAAGCCCCGAGACGCTCCCAAGAGGCTCCCAAGAGGATCCCAAACAGCCTCCAAACGGCCTCCAGATGCCCCCGACGGCCCTCCGAAGAGATCCCAAGAAGCAACCAAGAAGATTCGAATCCACTGCCCAGGCACTGTGACGGGATAGGCCGCAAGCCACTAGAAAATCCCAGAGGGGCCTGAAATCGCCCGAGCGCCCCCAGAGAGCCCCCACAGATTCCCAAGCAAATCCTCAACGGTATCAGACCAGGAGCCCTTGGCATGACGACGCTGCTGCGGGCCGTGTCGGGAGCCCTCGTGGGGCCCTCTTGGGCCTGTCGGAGCCCCTGTGCGGGTCTCCCAGAGAGCCCAGAGAGAGTTCCGAGACGCCGTCAAGAGAGCCTGGATGGAGAGAGCTCCAAGAGGGTCCCCAGGTGGTCTCCGACAGTATCACATCTGGGCACGGTGGCGGGATGGACCGTGGGCGACCTAATCCAAGAAGGGCCTGAAATCGCCCGAACGTCCCAAGAGAGCCCCCAGGGGGCTCCCGCCGAACTCTTCCAAGAGACGACCAGGCTCGCCTGCCAGATGGTCATCTTGCCGCTGCATTGCTGCCACGGCGACCACGAATGTCCTCAAAGACGGCGAAGCTGGCCCCGTCTGGCCTAAGATGGCCCCAAGATGCCTCCAAGACGGTCCCCGATGGCGGCAAGAGGCCGCCATGAAGCCTGAGGAGGCTCCCAGAGCCCCGAACATGCTCCCAAGAGGTCTCCTCCTCCTCCCCCTTCTTCTCCTCCTCCTGCTCCTGCTCCTCCTCCTCCTCCTCCTCCTCCTCCTCCTCCTCCTCCTCCTCCTCCTCCTCCTCCTCCTCCTCCTCCCCCTTCGCCTCCTCCTGCTCCTGCTCCTCCTCCTCCTCCTCCTCCTCCTCCTCCTCCTCCTCCTACTCCTTCTTGTTGTCCTTATCGTTCTCCTCCGCCTCCTCCTCCTCCCTATGCTGATTACCCCCCTCTTCGTCCCCTAGCGGCTGCGAAACCACATAGGCAGATGACTTGGCCAAGCTGTGCTCCTCCTCACACGCTTCTTGGGAACCTCATGGGGCTTCAGGGGAACTCTTCGGGGCGTATGGTCCCAACCTTCCCGAACAACTCCCGCTGTCACCTTCATCACGGGGGTCTTCTTCCAGGGTCGGCGGAACCCGCCGTAGGGCCTTCACAAACGACGCCCGTCCACTGAATCGACGCTGATCGACGCTGAATCGGCGACTTCTCATCGATTACCAGACACTCGCGCAAGCCAATGCACTCTGGGGACGGAGCGACGAGGATGCAGGCGGCTCCCATGACTTGCCACCGAAGGAAGCGCGATCTGGCTGGCACCCGCATCAGTGATGCTGTAGACATATCGCTCCGAGCCCGGCTTCTTGGAGCAGGAGGCATACCCCTGGTTGCACAAAGCCTGCAGCACGCCCTTGACTGCCGTCGGGGAGTTTCCAGTCAAGTGCTTGATCGTCTTATCTTTCGATAGTTTGAACTTGTCCAGTGGCTCTGCGGCCAATTGAAGCATTTCCATGATTCGCAGCTGTACATCAGATGATGTAGCCATGGCGCCAAAGGTCGGGCGACGCCTTGCTAGTTCAGTGGGCGATTGAGCATTAGCTTGAGCCCAAGACTTGACGTGAGTGCCGCAAACATCGAGCGAACCAGCCGCGGCACATATAGACTGGAGAACTGGGCAGCACTGATCTTCAAACAACACTGGTGGCCCAGAAAGAGAAACCGTAACAACATAATGATCCACAGACCAAGACATGGGACGTGAGGCCTGAGGCAAGAGCGTGATGCTGACGCCAGCTGAAGTGCAGGCACCGCAGGCCAGCCTGGAAAGATGACAAGTTATGGCATGAGTTTCGGGGTCGGTGACACACACGTTTGTAGGCGCCACGAAGGGAGACAGAGTTGGTGGGAGAAGAAGAATGTGACAATGTGCCAAAAGAGGGGGGGGGAAAGCGGGGACCAGAAGAAACCTCAGGGAATGAGACGGGACCAGACAGGGAAGGAAAGGGAGGAATCAACACATTGCTCTAGACCCGAATTCGTCCGGAACTCGTCGTTCACACGTGCCGGCCAGAGGATGCAGACCTCAATCTGTACTATACCTATAAATGTCGACTGTTGCCAGCAGTGGGCGTCGACACGACAAATCAATCAGAGCTGATGGAGCCCTGCGCTGGGCGGACGAGCCGGAGAACCAAACCTTAGGACCACCAGCAGAGACACGACGGCGCCACGCAGCACAGCGCGCACCGCCCGACTTCCGGCCGTGCCTTCGCCCACGCATGCACTCACACTGTCGCTCAACGGCTCCGAGGGCTCAGATGGAACAAAAACTTGTGGAGACCCGCGCAAGCTTCTTGGGTCGGCGCCGAATTCACAAGCGGGACAACATGCAGACCCTCCGCCTGCCGTCGCTCGGACGTCCATTTCCCGTGCATTTGTCGGTGTCGTGCGTGTTCTTTTGTTGCTCGATGGTCCAGGGTGGTCCTCAAGGGTCCTGGCCGAGAAGCAAATACACACGTCCGAGCGATGCCAGGTCCGTGGGGGTTGGATGCATGACGCAACCAACTTCACTGCACTGCCCCGCGGGTCGCGCCGCCCCAACGGTGGGGGGCCTCACGAGTTCACGACGGGTTTCACCTATAATTGGCCGACAGGGGGATGGAGGAGGAAGTACGTGCATAATTAGGGTTGCCCCCCCTCTCTTGGGCGCCCGAGTCATCCGGGGTAACTCGGGTCCGGGGTAACTCGGGCTTGGATTCCCGAAAAACGAACCCGAGTTAGCCCTGACCCGAGTTACCCCTGATGATTTTGGGACTCTGGACGCCCGAATTATCCGGGGTAACTCGGGTCCGGGGTAAATCGGGTTCGGAATCCCGAAAAACGAACCGGAAATAGCCCTGACCCGAGTTACCCCTGATGATTCGGGGCCCTGATTCTCTGGCACCTCCCTCCCCTACGAGCAGGGC